CTTTGCATTAGTATAATGTCCAGTCCTCATTAAACTAAAGCATCCAGAACCTGGTCATGATAAGATGGGAATTGAATTCAATAAATCTGGTTATTTGAGAATCGCTGTCAACAGGAAGCAATTTGCTAGACACTTGCTGCCTGATCCACCTTGTACCAGTCAGAGAAACATTATTGTAATTAGGTGAATAATTTCCGTGACATTTGTGAAAACACAGTTATGTGCAGAGTGTCTTGTAATTAGACCTTTAGATTGGCTCTCTCAGATCAATCTATAATTGTATTTGACCTAAGTCTTGCAATTAAAGTTAAATTGAAAACCCCAGCTCTTACATAACATTTACCATTCTGTGTTTGTCAAAGATGATTCTCTCACACGGAGCTGCTCACTGAACATTAGATATGTGTCACTTGCATGTTCTTTGTGAAAGGGGCAATATCTTGGATGTTGTCTTCTCAAGTAATGCTTCATTTTTCTGTCCTCCAAATAACTCAGTCCCCTCCATTAATGCTAAAAACAATGGAATTCCCATTGGAAAATCCCACTGCAAGAACTCAGAGCAGGTTAACAAAACCTTTCTGGTAGTATCAGAGACCCTCAGACTGTTCACTGCAAGTCCAGATCATTCCATGAATAAGATCAGAGTAAAATGTTTCCACCACTTTTTTAAGTGTAGCGTCCACCCCTCCACACTACATTAACGGGAATGGATTTATCCTGATCATGTTAAGCATTTGTACAAGATAATCAAGATCACTTTCAACCTTAATGTCTCTTTGTTATATTCTGTTCAACAGCATATTCAACCAGTTCAATATGGCTATATTTAAGACATTCTTAAATTTGGTTAGAAAGAAAGAATTGCATTTGTATGGCTCCTTTTACAGGCTGAGGATAGCTTGAAGTTCCTTGCAGTCAATGAAGTATATATACGAGGTGGTATTAATGTTATAAAGAAGGAAACAAGGCAGCCAATTTGCACACAGTTCCCGCAAACACATCACACTAATGCTGTTACATCAATATTTCAGGAGAGGCGCACAGTTTTTTCATTGGGAACATTTATCAGAGAAATAGACAATTTTTGAGTCAGGTATTAAGCAATTTTTATTTAAATGCAGTATTTTAAGACAATTGTGCTGCACATTCATTGTTATTTTCAGTAGAAAAGCAAAGGTTATTTGACATTTTGGTCCCCACACTGCTGCAGTTTATTAACTCTTGTAAGCAAGGATCCCATGGAACGGGAGGCTACTACTGCACATTCTAGGAACAGCCCAATTTTCAGAATCCATCTATATGTGTAAGAACAGCACAGAGCGCTGGGAATGTTTATGCTGCCTAAGTAGTAAGGAACACCTCAGCCTATATGGTACTAGTTTATAGCAGAATCCTGGGAGTTCAGTAAGAGGCTCCCTGTTCCATTGAAACTATGTTGAGGGAACATAAATGGAGGTCTGGAGTGCACTCAGTTGGCCAGATGGCTGATCTGTGATGCAGAGTGATGCCAATAGAGTGGGTTCAATTCCTGCACCTGGCTGACGTTACCATGAAGGACTCTCCTCCTCTACCTCTCCCCTCGTATGGTGCATTATGACTATTCGTCACTGTCTGTCTGCCTGTCTCTATAATGAGCCATGTTGGGTTATGGCAACTTCTTTTTTGAAGCACCGCAAGCCCAATTGGCTCAGGAATTAAACTACCAGATCTGCCAAAGAGTCTTTCTTTCCAAACAATGGTGCCTGAGGAGTTCTGGTTTTGTGAAAGGATACGGATGATGATGTGTCCCATCCTGGGCCACTTATACAGCTTCACTCTACCCCAGAGAGCAGAGTATGGTGCAGGAAACAGGGCAGTCACAGACTCTGTCATTGAGGGGGTTAGGCAGGTGTTTGGGAGGTGGGCAGTGGGCGAAGTGAAGATGGAAAGGCAGAGTGGGGTGGTTGGTTTGAAGTGTGGAGGAGGAAGAGACAATATGGAGACGGAAGTAGAGGAGGTGGTGATTAAAGGAGTTGGAGAAGAAAGAGATGAAGTGTCAGTGGAGAAGACAGTGAGGAGTGGAGATGCTGGCTAATTCGGGTGAGGTTTAATGATGTTGGTGATAAAGAATAGCCAGAAATTCCAAGACCTCAGACATCACATGGCTCTAACTGAGCATGTCCAACTCTGTGTGGACACATACATACTGGAGTCACATGATCTCTCACCACCATCTGGTCAAACAGATGCTGATATAATTATGGCCAATAAATGAAAGCGTTCAGGAAAATGAATAGTACACAGAATTTCTTCAATGCCGCTATGATTTTTCTCCTGGATTTTACTTGAGGAAGATCAATACTTGATTTTTGAAAATTGCAGGATAATCCCGGACATTTCAGAACCCTAGGGTTTAGCAGGAAGGAGATAAGAAAGAATATTTTACTGTTGTCCAGGTAGTATTGGAAGGTTCTCCAGACACTCCACTGATTCCTGGTTTCTTCAAGTGCTTCTTCATTAGACTAACAGATGAGCCTTAAGGCTGGGATAATCTTCCTTTGGACCATGTCTACTCCAGGCATGAACCCAGTGTCACTCACTGGATCATTCTGGAAAATCTGGACACACTGTTCTTTTTGGAAGAAAATCTCTTACTGGAATCTCTATCCCAAGGAGCATTGATTCACCAGAAACAATGGCTAACTGTCCCAAAAATGTCTTCTGGTGAGAAAGAATCATTGCGATGTTATGCAGCCTGCCTTAGCGAACCAGCAGGAAGGATCCAAGAGAATTATTTTTGGAACAGGTTTGGACTGTTTCCTTTCCCAGGAAATTGATCGACTGGAGCAAATGTGGATTCACGGAAACAAATGGATCAGGTGAGCACAGAAAGAGCTGAGGGGGATGGCTCTCGTCAGCCTTTGTACTGGACTTTACCAAATTGCTTTTCACTTTTTTCTATTGATAAGGTTGGTGTTTTGAGGTTAGCAACTCAGTCCCTCCAATGGCTGATCACTACATAAGCATCTTGCTGCACATTAGTGAGATGAATTAGCTGTCTGTTATCCACTGGCACACCTCCACATCCTATTCTGTATGGATTGCTCCCAGCTCAGCCAACTCATTTTCAACTGTTCATAGTTCCTGTTACCACCTTTTCAGCATTTACTTCTTCCCCGGCTTACTATCAACAAGCCCTATGTCTGCTTCCCTGCTTTCCCCGGACCCCATAACCTGTCATGAGCATAAATACCACATTTTTGCCCATTGCTTTCAGTTCTGACAAAGGTTCATTGGACTTAAAACATTAACTCTGTTTCTCTCGCCACAGATACTGCAGACCTGCTGAGTTTCTCCAGCACATTCTATGCTTGGGATAGCTGCTGCTACTGGCTTAAGTGAGTCCATATCACTGAGGTGTGTCTCCTCTGTCTCACAAAGACTTATTACTAACCACAAGTTTCCTGAGAACTTATTGAAGTGGTGTGCTGATTATTACATCAGGGCCATGAAGGTTTCTAGTCAAACAACAGTTCGGGCACACATCCAGAGACACCACCCACATACAATATTAATCTCAAGCTGAATAAAACTAGCAAGCTTTGATAAGAAAGCAACAACAGTCTTTAATCTAATCTCAAGGAATTCAATAATGTATATAAATTCCCCAAGGTATGGTCTTATGGTTCATGCAGTTATCTGAGTTCATTAATAAGAAACCTTATTGTTTCTCCCAGGGAACCACAAATATCTCCTCCAGAAAATAGAGAACTAGCATTTCTGAGGCACCTTTCACAACATGGGGCTGTCCCACTGCCCTTTGCAGCCAATGAAGCAGTTTTGAAGATGAGCCACTTTTATAATATACCAGATATGGTAACTGACTCATGCACAACAAGATCCCACACACTACACTCTTCTCCCTCCCTCCACACTCCCTTCAATCACCTCAGTATTCACTTCCTCATTACCTAGTTACTGTGGTATATTGCTGAGAGATTTATTTTGTTGGGGTTAGACGAGATCAGAGACAGAATCTGAATAAAATGCCGGGGGTCAGAATCTATCTGGGTCTTACTGTGTGAGATTGTCACTCACCCCAGTCTCCTACTGCCATCCCTTACCCAACTCCAAATTAAAATGAAAACCTTTGCCAACTCACCCCAGACGTTGTGAGCAAAATGAAGGTCGACCTTCCAGTGCAGTGCAATGGGAATTCCACACTGTTGAAGGTGTAGTCTTTCAGGTAAAGTGTTAAACTAACCAACCAATGCTCCCAATAGCGTGTAAAAGATCCCCTGGTCACTATTTTGAAGAAGAGTGGGTAACTTCACTTCAGTGTCCTGTTTGATATTTAGTCCTCGGTCATCATCTGTAAGATCTGGCGGTCTGGTCGTTATCACATTGTTGGCTGTGGGAACTTGCTGTGTGCAAAATGATGACTATGTTTTCTTAATTACAACAATACTTCCAATTCAAAAATACTTCATTGTTAAGCCCTGAGGTCATAAAGGTTCTACAGAAAGGACTTCTTTTAAGTGGAAAAATAGAATGTTACTGACAGAGGAAACAGAGATGGAGTGATTGGGTGTTGTTTGGAGTGGAGGAGGCTTATCTGTGATCTTCTAACTGGATCATCAGTGAGGTGGGGGCACTAATAAGAGTGAGGAGTGGGCCTAGGAAAAATTTCAGAGCATGGAATTCATAGCAAAGGGAATGGCTGAGACAGAGATCACCATTAAATCTTTCAAAGGAGAAACAAGACGAATCCTTAGCTGCAGAATTTCGTAAGGTTAGAAGGAGAAAGCAGGGTCTATTGGGATTAGTTTGGGTTTGCTACAATGCACTTTGGTGAGAGTGAGCAATGGAATTAGTTTGGGATTGATACAGGGCTATGGGCTGGGTTCAAAGCTAAACATATTGATTCAGGAGATCTGAAATAAACACAGAAGATGCTGGAAATAACTCAGCAGGTGACCTTCCCTCCATCATAAGTTAGAAGTGGGGATGATCACTGTTAGTTGCCTGGTGTTTACTATCACTTGTGACTCCTCAGGTATTGAAGCAGTCTGTGTCCATATGCAACAAGACCTGGGTGTGGGCGGATAAGTGACAAGTAACATTCATGTCACACAAGTGCCAGGGAATGATCATTTAAAATGAGAGAAACTAACCATCGCCCCTTGATGTTCAATGACGTTACCATTGCTAATTCCCTACTAATAACATTCTAGAAGTTATAATTGATCAGAAACTGAACTGAACAAGCCATATAAATTCCATGGATGAAACAGCAGGTCAGAAGGTAGGATTTTTGTGGCGAGTAATTCACCTCTTGTCTCCCCAAAGTCTAGCCACCATCTACAAGACACAAGTCAGGAGTATTATGGAATATTCGCCACTTGCAGTGAAGCTCCAACAACACTCAGGATGCTTGACACCCTGCAGAACAAAGTAACCCATTTGATTGGAATTTCATTCACCACCTTCGACATTCACTTCCTTCACCATTAACACAATGTGTCAGTACTATATCCCATCAACAATATGCACTGCAGTAACACATCTAGGTTCTTTCATGTTCCAAACCCACAACCTCTACCACCTAGAAGAACAATGGTAAAAGATACATGGTAACACTACCACCTACAAGTTCCCTACTAAGTCACTCACCAACTTGGAGCTATATCGGTGTCATTGGATCAAAATCCTGATCCTAAAGATTGCTGCTTACCAATTAATTGTTGATTAGGGATGGGCATTAAAGTCAATGACTTCCTGTAAACAAAAGAGAATGGTCTGGTAGCATCTATGGAGAGAGTACCAGAGTTAAAGTTTCAAGTTGAATGACATTTCAGGGCAGTAGGATTCCTTTGGGATTGATACAGGGCTATGAAGAGTCTGAGACAATGGGATTTGTTTGAGGTTGATGCAGGGTTATGGGCAATGAGATCAGTTTGGGAATTCACTGGCAACTAATCAGCTGATATTGTTAAACTTTTATGTGCAGAATTTGCAGTTAAAAAAATTACACTTCAGATCTTTTGAAATATGGATTTAACGCAATGGAAGATAATCATTATTCTTGTGAATTTAAATTGGAGATACAATGCCACTTTCATTGAATGATTGAGTGAAGAGAGTTTTGGTTAAAATGTGGGCACATGCAGGCACCTTGATTATACAATGTAGATGAGCTTGCAGTGGGCAGCATGTTCTTTAAGATGCCTAAAGTATTCCACAGATACCAGCTCTGGGCATTTCTAAACATCTTTTAGAAATCAACCCATGCAGTGCATTAATTTACAAAAATAATTATGATTTCTTATTTTCTGCTTTTGTGAGTCAGCTGTTGATGGATCTAAAGGGTGATAGAACATTTATCATATGACTTCAGTTGTACCATAGACTCATCTTTGTTGTTGCCATCCGGATCAAGGTAACCTTCTTCTACCTCTTCTTCTTCATCATGCCTCTCTAATACACGTTCTTCATTTGCTTCTGGTTCAATATCTTCCTTAAACCACACTGACTTGTAGCCTTCATCTGACTTCCTCTCCTTGGTGAGGATGGATTTAACCTCTGTGTCATTCTCAGTCTCTTCTGAGGAGCGACGTGCTTTGTCATTTTCTTGGATGGTGGAGAGAGCATTGGTACTTTGGGATATGATGGCAGATTGGATTTCCGAAGATTCTGTTGGATTGCTGTTTTCCTTTGGTGGTTCGAGGATAGCAGCCAGACCAGCAGATTCTAAGATGGGAGGATTCTTCCACCTTGGCCAACTTGACTTTTTGGTCCCTTCAGATGTTGCTTCCTCCAAATATCCTTCATTTGTAAGTTGCAGCTTGTCACTGTTTGACTTAAGTGAACCTCTGGAAAACTGCAATGGAGAAGAGAGTTCTTGTAATTACCTAATCCCATTTATTGTTAAAGAGTGAGGGCAGTGTCAATTATTCACATCAATAGTCTATAAAGACTACTTTTGTGATACCATTACTGTTAGATCTCTATGACTATTCAAGGTTATGTTCATGGTGATTGACAGATGATTAAGGAGAGAGGAAGGAAAGCACTATTCTAAAGATCATGTGGACAGTCAGAAACAACACGCTTGGACAGGGTAAATCTGAAACTCTCTCCCTTAAAGGACTGTGCAAGCTGGAGGCCAGTTGGAATTTTCGAGCTAGAGATTGATAATTTTTTGGGGGAAAATGAAGCAAATGTGGGTGAATGGAGTTCAGTTATGACCTTATGGAGTAGTTGAACAGGTTTGAAGGGGTGACTAATCTCTTCCTGTCCCGTGGAGAGAAATAGTGGTGAGGTGGAACTGGTAAGCTAGCGTATACGTAGAACAAGATGCCATGATGTCACTCAGAGCAAACATGTAGATGTGAATGAAGTTAAACTGTAGTGAGAATTATTCAAGAATTGTTACAGCCCATCTATCCCAGGGATAGCCATTTGGAGAGTTCCAGAAGAACAAGAAAAGGCCATTTGGCCCAACATATTGCCATCAGCAAATTGAAGTAACTGTGCAGTTAATTTCACTCCACTAAACATTCCCCATAGTCCTATCCCACTTCCACCATCAAGTTGGCCACTTCTCTTTTGAGAGTTATTATGGAATTTGCTTCCACTGCCCTTAGAGGCAATGGATTCCAGGCCACATCCATTCACTGTGTAAGCAAAATATTTCCTCACTTTTTTTTATTCATTCATATCCTGTGAATATCACTGGCTAGGCCAGTATTTACTGCCTATTCCTACTTTCCCACAATGCTGTGAGTCTGGAGTCACACATAGGCCAGGCCAGGCCAGGTAAAGGTGGCAGATTTCCTTCACTAAAGGTCATTGGCAAACCAGATAGGTTTTTCTGACAACTGACAATGGTTTGATGGTCATCATTAGACCCTGAATTCCAGATTCTATACTGAATTCAAATTCCACCATCTGCCAAGGCGGGAATTAAACTCAGGCCTCCAGAACGTTAGCTGAGTTTCTAGATTAATAAAGTCAGAAGTCACACAACACCAGGCTATAACCAGACTATAGTCTAGAGTCGTATGACTTCTGACTTTGTCCACCCCAGTTCAACTCTAGCACCTCCACATTGTGGATTAATTGTCCAGCGATAATACCACTAGACACAGTTACTATTTATTTACACTATCAAAACAGTCCTTGATGTAGAACACCTCTTTAAAATTTTGTCTTAATCTTCTCAGCTCTAGAGAGGACAATCCCAGAATTTCAATTTTCACTTCATTATTGAAGTACCTCTCCCCACCTCCCAATACCATTCCAGTAATTCGGTACTGCCACAGGGATCAGTGCTGGGGCCACAGATATTTACTATATATATTAGCAACTTGGATGAGAAAAGTGAATGTTCTACAGCCAAATTTGCAGAAGGCACAACACTAGGTGAAGGAATAAGTGATGAGGATGACACAAAGAGTCTGCAGAGGGGCACAGGTTAAGTGAATGGCAGGTGGTATATAATGTGGGAAAATGTGAGATTACGCATGGTGGCAGGAAGGATGGAGGAGCTAAATATTAGACAAATGGAGAAAGACTATAGAAAGCTATGATACCAAAGAATATGTGAGTCCTTGTGCATAAATCACAAAAAAGCTAGCATCCAATTTTAGTGGGGCCCTATCTAAGGAAAGATATACTTACATTTGATGTAGTCCAGAGAAGGTTCATTACACTAATCCCCCATATGGAGGGACCGTCCTATGAGGAGAGATTGAGTAGGTTGGGCACGTTCTCATTGGAGTTTAGAAGAATGAGGCAGCCTCATTGGAAAATACAAAATTCTTAGAGAACTTGACAGGGTAGATGTGAAAAGATTGATTGCACTTTTGGGGAAAAGTCTAGGACCAAGGAACATAATCTTAAAATAAAGGGTTGCCCATTTATGACAGAGATGAGGAGGAATTTTCTCTCTAAGGGTAGTGAATCTGTGAAATTTTTTACCACAGAGAGTTGTCAAGGCTGGATCATTAAGTATATTCAAGGTTGAGATGGACAGATGGCTTGGATATAGGGACTGAAAGTAAGTTTGCACAATTTAGTCATGATACTGAGATAGATAGGAATGTAAGTTGTGAAGAGGACATACTTAGGCATGGATAGGTGAAGTGAGTGGGCAAAAATTTGGCAGATAGAGTATTTTCTAGGAAAATGTGAACATTGGCAGGAGGAATGGAAAAGCAGCATATCTTGTACAAGGACAGAAATTGACAGAGAGATCTGGGACCCCTGGTACAAGGATCACAAAAAATTAGTATGTGGGTGCAGCAAGTGGTTAGGAAGACACATGGAATGTTACCATTTATTGATATGGGAATTGAATATAAAAGTTGGAATACTTTGCTACAGTTGTATAGAGCATTGGTGAGGCCACATCTGGAGTACTGTGCACAGTTTTGGTTTTTTTTAAGCTAAGAAAGGATGTACATGCATTAGAGGCAGTTCAGAGAAGGTTGGCTTCACTGATATTTTTGATGGGGAGGATTTTCCTATGAGGAAAGGTTGGACATGTAAGGCCCCTTTCCAATGGAGTTTCAAAGAATGAGACATGATCTTACTGAATCATGTAAGATCTTGAAAGGGTGGATGCTGAAAGAATGTTTCCCTTTGTGGGAGAAACTAGAACTAGGGGACCTAATTTAAAAATCAATTAAGACTGAAATAAGAAGGAACTCCTTTCTCTCAGAGGATAGCGAGACTTATTTGGATTATACTCAGAGAACAGTAGAGGTGGAGCTATTTAAGGCAGAGATAGATAGATTGATTGATGACCACTAAGGGAGTCAATAGTTATCAATGGTAGATGGGAATGTGGAGTTGAGGTCACAATCCAATCAATCATTATTTGAACAGTGGCTACTAGGGGCAAATGGCCTACTCCTGCCCTTAAATCGATGCTTGGTCCATTTACTTTAGATTGTCTCTCTTCATTCTCCTTACCAATATATATCAGTTCACATCTTTCTGCATTGAATTGCATTTTGTTTCCTGATGCCTTTTATTAGTTTTCTTGGTCTTTGCCACATTTCTGAGTTTTGGGTCATCAATAGACTTTGAAATGATGCCCAAGTCATTTTTAGATATAAAATGCTATCATATCCCACCTCTTCATCTGAGATTGCCTTTTCCTAGTTTTGTCCAACCAGGCAGACAGGTTTCTCTGGAACAAAAACAAAGTTGCTGGAAAAGCTCAGCAGTTCTGGCAGCATCTGTGAAGGGAAAAACAGAGTTAACACTTTGGCTTCCTCAGTTCTGAGGAAGGGTCACTGGACCCGAAACGTTAACTCTGTCTTTTCCTTCACAGATGCTGCCAGACCTGTTGAGCTTTTCCAGCAACTTTGTTTTTGTTCCTGATTTACAGCATCCACAGTTCTTTCAGTTTTTAGATAGCTTTCTCTGTTCTTGTACCTCAGGGTTCAGCCACTGAAAATTTTTTTTTACCTTTGTCACTGATCCGTTCTGTAATTTTTCCCATTCCATTTTCCCAATGTGGATTTTGTGGAGAAGAATTCCAATGATGATGAAACAAATAATCAGCAATATGGCTAATGGAACTCCAAGGGCTGCCATGTGTTTGGCTTCATACATCAACTTTGGGTTTACTGCTGGTAAGCCTGGAAGACAGCATTTTATTGAAACAGATGGCATATTGAATCTCTGTGATGTCAATTATCAAAAAAAATTAACATTTTTTCTTTGAATGCTAAAGGCACAGAAGCGGCATGAACTCTCTGAGCTTGCTGACACAGTCCAGGAATATATCCAATTTAGAGCTCTCACCCTTGTATTCCACATATTCACCCCTCATCATACCCTCTTCCAGCTGCACAACCCACAATAACTAGTATTTACTTAAGATCTTTAATGTAATAAATATAAAAGCATAGATAATAGGAGCAGGATTAGGCCATTCAGCCCATCAAGTTTGCTCGCCCATTCAACATGATCTTGGCTGATCATCCAACTTAGTACCCTGTTCCCACTTTATCCCCATATCCTTTGATCCCTTTAGACCTAAGAACTATATCTAAATCCTTCTTGATAACATTCAATGTCATGGTTCAAGGTGAAAGTATCCAAAGGTGCTTCACAGGAGTTTATTGAATCAAAACTATTGACACCGAACCATTTAAGAAGACGTAAGGCAAAATGTTGCTGAGACAACGGGGATCTTGGCCAGTGGTGAGATCCTCGTGTTTTATTTTTACAAGAAGGTCCCTTGTGTCTTGTTTCACTCGGACACTCAAGAGGCCAATGGTGAACCGTCCTCCTGGGGATTAATTAGCTTGGAGTGTGCGGGAGGGGGGGCACAGAAGTCCTGTAGATCAGCTGCTGGCCAATCAGAGGCCAGCTCCACAGTGCCAGAAGTGCCACAAGGTGATGCAGACTGCTTCCAATGGTGTTGCTCTATGACCCCTCAAATCAAGGAGTGATATGGGGTACGGGTCACAGGAAGAGGGCTGTGGGACAAAGGAGGCCAGCAGCAAGCTGTCAGTTGACAGCCCAACCTCAGCTTAAGGTCCTCAATTTATGGTGGGACAGGAAGGGGTCCGTCCGAAGGACTTCTCATCAAGGATTTCAATCAGGGTGGAAGTAGGAAGGTGGCATGGTACTGGCCCTATCACCCACTCACCTGATTAAATGCTCTCCCCACACCAAATGCAATGGGGGACGGCACAAGATTCCACCTGCTAAGTCGGCTGGCCACAAGCTTAAAAGTAAAGGTGGGTTTAAGGAGCATCTTAAAGGAAGATGGAGAATTAGAAACATGGAGATACTCAGGGAGGGAATTCAAGAGCTTAGACAAATATCAATTGTGGAATGATTAAAATTGGAGATGCTGAAGAGGCCAGAATTAAAGGGGTACATTTGTGATAAAGGCTTTTGGGGCAAGGGAGTCTACAGAGATAAAGAGGGATGAAGACATAGAGAGGCATGAATGAGAAATTTATAATCATAAGATTTATGCTCTTCTCTAATTCTGGTCAATTTAATATCCCATTTTAATTGCTTCAGCATTGACAGCCATGCCTTCAGTCCCCTGGCTCTGGAATTCTCGTCCTCCCTCTGCTCTCTGCTTTTCTCTTCTCCTTTATGACACTCCATAAAATCTGTCTCTTTCAACGGCCTTTTCATCACCCTAATACCTCATACCATTGCATGGCAAATTTTTTCTGGTAATACCTTTGGATATTTCACTACTTGTGATGTACTGTTTAAATTCAAGTTGTTGTTGAGATGATTCATTACATAAGGTACCATTCTTGGTCAAGCTGTACAGTTACTGAGAAGGGGAAAGGAAATGGAAAGTAAAGCCAGTGCCTGGCCTACTCCAACATACAGGCACTATCCTTGGCTCAGAGTGACTTGTGCTTTGGAGCTAAAGAGAATATAATCATCATACATCTTAGCAAAGCCTGCCCAATGTATTAAATCAGTTAACATCACACATCCTACCCGGTGCCATATGGTCTTACATAAACTTCTTAAGGGAGCTTCTGTGTGAGGGATTCAGGACTAGATTGACCCCAGTCCTTGACTGCTATTCCAACCTCACTCACCTTAGTTCAGGGGTGCCACAACATTCCTGGACCTCTGGCAGGTGCAATGTCACCAGCAGGAGCCGTCCACAGCAATGAAAGTCTCTGATTAGCCTGCATCACTTGGTAGGCCGGACCCACTCCCCCAAAACCTGCCACTTCTCTGCTGGTGGTGGTCACAGGAGGAGGGGGCGGGGGGCCGTCTAATGGAAGGGCAAGGGAGTGGCTTTCAATAGGACTCCCTTCCCAATGCCAGGATCACTAGCATCAGGCACATAGTACCTGATAATGAGTGCATATCCTCCACTGGGGAGAGTTTCTTGAATGGCCTTCCTAGGATACAGGAAAGCTATGTGTGTCTTGTGTTAATGTATGGATTTAGAGAAGAGTAGACTATTCAGCCTCTCTAAACTGCTTTGCCACAAATGAATTTCACTGAATCGTGGGGGCTCAGCTATAATGGGCATTAATTGGTTCATTAATGAACCTGACTGTCAGTGAGTAGCTGGGAATTCTGTGTTGCTAGTTTTGCCTTTTGACTTAATCAGGGAGGCTCTTCCACGTCTGGGAGACTGATAGCTGGCATTTCCGGTAATTCACTGGGCCCCAGCACAGTTCCCTCCGCAATGGGCAGTATTTAATCTAACCCCATGTTTCTGTAATAGCTTTACACAGACCCCATTCGTCTTTTATTGAGCCATTCATTTGCTCTCTCTTGTTACAAATAATTTTGCATTTGATAAAACGCCTTTAATTTTTTTTCCAAATTTCTCCCTGATTTAACCTTATTCACTGGCCTACTGTTGCTTAACCTTTAACCTTATTCACTGCCTACTTATCATTACTTCTTATTATAATCCATTTAAATTTACACAAATTGTTGCACTGCTCTGTGGCCTTGACATTTCCCTTCAGGTTGATAAATTTTGCCTCAGTTTGAATTCTCCTTCCTTTATAATTCAAAGCCCTATCTTCCCTCCATTATTTAAGTTACCAAGACACCAGGCCCAGCCCAGTTGCAGTGAAACCTGTCCTAACAGAACAGCCTGGTTGTGGGGATCAGTAAGTGAGAGTGATGGTGTGAGAATTGACATGGTGTATGACCAGCTGGCTTACTTGTTGTTTCTGGTCCATCAGGTGGTTTCCTGGATGGCGTTGTTGACCCAGGAGGCTCAGGATTATTTGTCGTTATAGATCCAGAGACATGAGGTTTGGTGGTTGTTGGCCCGGGTCCAGGGGGTTTTGCTGTTGTGGATCCTTGGGGGGGCCCAGGAGGGACTTTTGTTGGAGTTGATGGCCCAGTGCTGGTTGGCTTAGTCCCAGGAGGTTTAGTTGGTGGTTTTCGTGTTCCATTTCCATTGGATGTGGTCGTTTTCACAGGTGTTGTTGCTGGTTTAGAAAACAGCTCATTTTAGCAGCCAGGAAATCATAGAATGAGGATTCATTTGCGACTCTTCAAATACTGAAGCAATGCATGTGAAATTGTAGCAAGACCTGGACAACATCCAGACATGGACTAAAAATTGGCAAGTAACACCCATTCCACAGAAATGGCAGGTAATGACTATCGCCAACCAGACAGAATCTTACCATTCCATACCATATCCATCACTGAAACTCCCAATAATAACACTCTGGAGGTTACCATTGACCAGAAGCTAAGTTACCATCGAAATACTATGGCCATAAAAGCAAGTCAGAGGCTAGGAATTCCATAGTGACTGACCTTCTGTATCACTAATGCATGTCCACCATCTGCAAGGCACAAGTCAGAAGCATGATCAAATACCATACATTTGTATGGTTGGTGCAGCTTCTACAACACTCAAGAAGCTCTACACCATCCAGGACAAAGCAGGCCATTTCACTGGCTGCCAATCCACCTCATTAAATGTTTTTTCCCTTCACCACTGACCCAGTGGCAGCAATGTATACAATATATAGATGTAGTGCATTAACTCACCAAAGCTCTTTTATCAATACCTTCCAAGCATGTGACCTCTATCACCTAGAAAGAAAGGGGCCACAACTGCATGGGAACACCAGTACTTGCAAGTTCCCTCAAACTGCACACCGTCCAGATTTGGAAATATATTGCCTTTCCTTCAATATTGCTGTGTTAAAATCCTGGAATTTCCTTCCTAACAGCACTCTGGGTATTCCTCCACAAGGACAGAAGTAGTTCAAGAAGATGACGTTCCATGGTCCATTAGGAATTTGCATAAATGATGGCGTAACCAGGAATTCCTATTTCACATGAATGAATTTTAAAAATTGGGATGCCTGAGGTAAATGATAATCTTCAGGCCCTAGAGTGAAAAAGTGTGGCTAGCAAGCCTTACGCCTGCAAACTGCTTGATCAGGGAGGAGCGAAATCATTTCTGAATCTCTTCACACTTAATTGGCAGCATGTTGACATTCCTCAGATCGATATGTACATTAGTAACACATAAAACATTCATTAAAGGATCAAAGATCAGTTTTAATTCTCTTTCTCATTTCCTGTTTTCAGTCTCTCAGTCCCCAAATTATTTTCCTTACTTCATGGACAGCCAGTTACAGATTTACTTTGCAAAATTATATGTGACCCAGATTGGATTGGGATGTGGGACTGAAATCCTGATTCAGATCCATGTCTTATTATCAGTGTTAACAACAGGCTTGAAGCTCAAGACAAGCCCATTTCATTGAAATATCCTTTCCTTTCCTGAAATGTTTGTGATGATAAAGCTGGTATCACCAACAAGGAAACTGACATGTCATGACAAATAATCACAATGCTTTGTAAAAGTGGGCAGCATATTTTAAATCTAACAAAATTTGTCTTTTTCAATTTTTCAGTTAAATCTCCTCTATATCTCTGGAAGTAAATTGTGAGGGAATTCCTTCTGAAAATGTTTACAATCTATGCTACACGTAATTGCCTCAGTTATCCCAACTCCTTGTAGCTAAAGGTGAAACTTTTACGGCTGAAACACTTCACTTTGATCCTTGGTGGTTTATCTGGAGGTTAAACATCACGGGCAATGTCCAGCAGGTGTTGCTAATTTAGATTCACGCAAATTGCTCAACATTTTGTTGTCAGGCAACAAGGGCCTATTTCAAACAAAACAGTGGAACTTTTTTTTAACAAGGTTCAGCTGATAATCACTCAGTCTAAGACACAAAGTGTATAGATTGATCAGTAATTCCAGTTATGAAAAAGAGTGAAATTTCCCTGGAGTACAGGAGGGTTATTAATAAACACTGAAATTTCCAAGAAGAAGGAGCTGAATTTTGAAGGAAACATGAAGAAGAATGAAACAGACTTTCTGTGAGAATGCAATCCCTTGAGCACCATGCATTGTGCTTCAGTGAGAACAGGAACATTATAGTCCGTTCAAATAGAATTTTGACGAGTTTCAGAGGAGAAGATATTGTCAGATGAATATGATACTAGATATTTAAGAATTATCCCTAGTATAGGGGAATCACTAACAATGCTAGCATTTATTGCCCATCCCTAACTGCCTTTGAGAAGTTGTGATTGATTGCCTCTTGAATCGCTACAGTCCATGTGATACAAGTACGTCCACTGTGCTATTTAGTGTGGAATCCAAGATTTTAACCTGATGACAAAGAAGGAACTGCAGTATATTTCCAGGTCAGGGTGGTGTGTGATATGCAGGGAACCTTGGAATGAATGACATTCACATAATATTGTTGTTCTTACATGGTTTTAATTCTCAGTTGTGACTTTTTGGATGTTATCTTGCCACCTAACTGAGGGTTTAAGACCCATTCCAGAGACTTGAGCAAATAATCCAACTTGACAGTCCTGGTGCAGTCCTGAGGGAGTGCTGCACTAATGGAGGGGCAGTACTGAGGGAGCACTGCACTATTGAAGGCAGTACTGAGGGAGCACTGCACTATTGGATGGGCAGTACTGAGGGAGCACTGCACTGGTGGAGGGGCAGTACTGAGGGAGCACTGCACTGATGGAGGGGCAGTACTGAGGGAGTACTGCACTTTTGGAGGGGCAGTACTGAGGGAGCACTGCAATATCAAAGGATCAATATTGAGGAAGCACTACATTATGATGGCCCATACTGAGGGACCACTATGTTGTTGGAGAGTTATTACTAAAGCAGTGCTACATGTTTGGAGGGCCAGTAATGCAGGAGTGCTGTATTATTTGACAGTCAATACCAAGAATGCCCTGTACTCTCAGAAGTGTTGCCTAGTGGATGAGAAATTAATCTAGGACATCTTCTACTGTCTCGTGTGAGTGTGAAAAGCGAATCTCACTGCCCTCTCTCTCCTCATAGGTCAGTATCAATCTGAAACTAATTCCACTCACATTCTTGCTATACTTTGGGGTCAATCCCAATCTAATCCCAATGCCTCACTTTCACTCCATAGCATGACATACTGCTCGACTTCAAACATGTACTCAACTTTCCCTTAAAAGGTGCACTTTCACTCCATAGCATGACATACTGCTCGACTTCAAACATGTACTCAACTTTCCCTTAAAAGGTGCAATTATCCCTTTCTTGTGAAAAAAGCTTTCTATGCTCCAAATATTACCATTGAAGCAGCATAGAAACAAGAGGTGACCACCCAACCCTTTTAAACTGTTCTGCTTTTTAATTAGATGATCTATTCCATGCACACCCACTTTGCTCCATATCCAGTTTTTAAATATATCATCAAACAAGTTACCATTTCCAGTGGTTTAGCGATAAAGTCTATATCAAATCCTGGCTGCATTGTGAACTGTGAGCAGGATGGTGTTAAAATCCTAAAGAGCACAGACAGGTTGCTGGAATGGGCAGAGAAGTGACTGACAGCATACGAAACTGAAGCGTGAATTGATTTGATTTGGAGCGGCAATATAAAACAAAGGGTATGATTCTGAAGGAGGTGCAGGAATGGAGGGATTATGATTTATGTATATTTGCAACTCACTGAAACTCAAAAAATGGTTGAGCCAGTGTCTACAGTAGCATACTGGATCGTGGGCTTTATAAATAGAGGCAGAGAGTACGAAAGCAGGTATGTTAGAATAAACCCTTTAAACCGATTCTTGAACCTTAACTATACTATTGTGTCCTGTTCTAGGCACCAGATTTTTGGAAGGATATATGTACACAGAAACAGAAATAGGCCATTCAACCCTGGAGACTGTTCCACCATTCAATGAGATCTGTGGCCTAACTCCATATATGTGCTTTTGACTCCTATCCCTTAATACCTTTATTTAACAAACATTTATCTATCTCAGATTTAAACAACTGATCCTGCATCCAGTACCATTTGTGGAAGACAGTTCTAAATGTCTATCACCCTTTGTGTGTAGAGCTGCTTCCTCACATTTCACCTGAATGGTCTGGCCCTAATTCTGAGTCTCTCTCCCCTAGGTCTAGAATCCCCAACCAGAGGAAACCATTTATGTTTACCTACCCTTACGTTTCCTCTTAATACCTTGAAGAATTCAATCAAATCACCCGCTAAATTCTAGAGAAAAAAATATGTAATCTCTCCTCATATCCAAACCTCTGAAGTCCAGGTATCATTCTTGTAAATCTACATTGTACTCCATCCAAGGCCAGTATATCCTTCCTAAGGTGTGGTGCCCAGCTCTGCTCACAGTATTCCAAGTGTTGTCTAACCAGGGTTTTGTACAACTGTAGCAGAATGTCTGCATCCTGTAGTCCAGTCCTCTAGATATAAAGGCCAGCATTCCCTTAGTTTTCCTGACTATTTTCTGCACCTATTCACGACATTTTAAAGATCCAAGTAGCTGAACACGTAAGTCTCTTTGAACATCCATTGTATGTAACTTCATATCATCTAGAAAGTGCCCTCAACTACCTCTTTTCTGTTCAAAATGGATAACCACACATCTGCTTACGTTGAAATACATTTGCCACAGTTCTGCCCATTCACTTAGTCTATCAACGCCCCTTTGTAATTTTATGCTATCTCTACTTATTTCCACTTGTGCTATTCATTTTGCCTCTTGCTACAAACAATTCAGAATTTGATAAAATGTCTTTAATATTTTTTCTAAACATCCCCTGATTTAACCTTATTCACTGGTCCAGTTGCAATTAAATTTATCATTACTTCATACTATAATCCATTTAAATTTACACAGATTGTTGCACTGCTCTGTGGCCTTGACATTTCCCTTCAGGTTGATAAATTTTGCCTCAGTTTGAATTCTCCTTCCTTTATAATTCAAAGCCCTATCTTCTCTCCATTATTTGAGTTGCCAAGACACCAGGCCCAGCCCAGTTGCAGTGAAACCTGTCCTAACAGAACAGCCTGATTGTGGGGATCAGTAAGTGAGAGTGATGGTGTGAGAATTGACATGGTGTATGACCAGCTGGCTTACTTGTTGTTCCTGGTCCATCGGGTGGTTTCCTGGATGGCGTTGTTGACCCAGGAGGCTCACGATTATTTGTCGTTATAGATCCAGAGACATGAGGTTTGGTGGTTGTTGGCCCGGGTCCAGGGGGTTTTGCTGTTGTGGATCCTTGGGGGGGCCCAGGAGGGACTTTTGTTGGAGTTGATGGCCCAGTGCTGGTTGGCTTAGTCCCAGGAGGTTTAGTTGGTGGTTTTCGTGTTCCATTTCCATCGGATGTGGTCGTTTTCACAGTTGTTGTTGCTGGGTTAGAAAACAGCTCATTTTAGCAGCCGGGAAATCATAGAATGAGGATTCATTTGCGACTCTTCAAATACTGAAGCAGTGCATGTGAAATTGTAGCAAGACTTGGACAACATCCAGACTTGGACTAAAAATTGGCAAGTAACACCCATTCCACAGAAATGGCAGGTAATGACTATCGCCAACCAGACAGAATCTTACCATTCCATACCATATCCATCACTGAAACTCCTAATAATAACACTCTGGAGGTTAGCATTGACCAGGAGCTAATTTGCCATCTAAAGAAAACAGAAATTGCGGAAAATCTCAGCAGGTCTGGCAGCATCCACGGAAAAAAATCAGAGTTAACTTTTTGGGTCCATCTTCAAAACACTAAATACCATCTAAATACTATGGTTTTAATAGCAAGTTAGAGGCTAGGAATCCCACAGTGACTGACCTTTTGTATCACTAATCCCTGTCCACCATCTGCAAGGCACAAGTCAGGAGTATGATCGAATACCCTATGTTTGCCCAGTTGGTGCAGCTTCTACAACACTCAAGAAGCTCTACACCATCCAGGATAAAGCAGGCCATTTCACTGGCTGACAATCCACCTCATTAAATGTTCATTCCCTTCACCACCGACCCAGTGGCGGTGATGTATACAATATATAGATGTAGTGCATTAACTCACCAAAGCTCTTTTGTCAATACTTTCCGTCTCTACCACCTAGAAGGACAGGGGCCACGGTGCACACCATCCAGATTTGGAAATAACTCGCCATTCCATCATTGTTCCTGTGTTAAAATCCTGGAATTTTCCTTCCTAACAGCCCTCTGGGTATTTCTCCCCAAGGACAGAGTAGTTCAAGAAGACGACATCTCAAGGGCGTTTAGCGCAGTGCACTAAATGCTGGCATAACCAACAACTCCCATTTCCCATGAATGAACATTTAAAAATTGGGATACCAGAGGTAAATGATAATCTTCAGATTAGGAGTAGAAGGGCTCAAGCCTTACCCCTGCTTGATCAGGGAGGAGCAAAACTATTTCTGAATCTCTTCAGACTTAACTGTTGCACATCCCTCAGTTCGGTTGGTACCTTAGCAGCACCCCAATAATTTATTATAGGATTGGAGGACGGTTTTAACTATTTTTCTCATTTCCTCTTTTCAGTCAGTCCCCACATTATTTTTCTTATTTCATGAACAGGCAGTTATAGACTTGCTTTGCAAAATTATATGTGGCACAGATTGGATGAACTATACAAAAAGAGTTTGGAATGTGGGACTGGAATCCAGATGCAGCTCTGTGTCTTATTATCAGTGTTAACAACAGGCCTGAAGCTCAAGACAAGTCATTTCACTGAAATATCCTTTTCCTTTCCTCAAATGGTGGTAATGACAAAGCTGGTATCACCAACTAGGAAGCCTACCCCTTGTGACCAACAAATAAAACACATTGTAAAGTTGACAGCATAATTAGAATCTAAAAAAATTGCCTTTTTTAATTTTTCAGCTAAATTTCCTCGATGTCTCTGGGAGTAAATTGTGAGTGAATTCTTTCTGAAAATGCTTACAAACCATGCTACACATAAGTTTCCTCAGTTATTAGATAAATGCTACATTTTGGAAAGGCAAATCAGGGCAGGACTTATACACTTAATGGTAAGGTCCTGGAGTATTGCTGAACAAAGAGACTTTGACGTGCAGGTTCATAGTTCATTGAAGGTGTGGTCATGGGTAGACAGCGTAGTGAAGAAGGTATTTGGTACACTTGCCTTTAGTTTCAGTGCATAAGTATAAGAGTTGAATGTAATGTTGGGGCTGTACAGGACATTGGTTAGACCACTTTTGGAATACTGCATTCAATTCTGGTCTCCCTGCTATAGGAAAGATGTTGTGAAACTTGGAAGGCTGCAGAAGGGATTTACATGGATGTTGCCAGGACTGGAGGGTGTGAACTATAGGGAGAGGCTGAATAGGCTGGGGCTATTTTCCCTGGAGCATGGGAGGCTGAGGTGGGACCTTGTAGATATTCGTAAAATCATGAGGGGCACGGATAGGGTGAACAACCAAAGTTTTTTTCCCCAGGTAGTGGAGTCCAAAAGTAGAGCGCATAGGTTTAAAGTGAAAGGGGAAAGATTTAAAAGAGATGTAAGGGGGAAATGTTTCACACAGAAGGTGGTGAGTGTATGGAATGAGCTGCCAGAGGAATCGGTGGAGGCTGGTGCAATTACAACCTTTAAAAGGCATCTGGTTGGGAACATGAATAGGAAGGATTTAGAGGGATATGGGCGAAATGCTGCCAAATGGGACTAGATTAATTTAGGATATCTGGTGAGCATGGATGAGTTGGATCGAAAGTTCTGTTTCCATGCTGTATAACTGTATGACTCCATCTGAACTCCTTGTAATTGATATAAAACAAAGGGTGAAACTTTTACGGCTGAAACATGTCACCAAGATTTGATCCTTGGTGGTTTATCTGGGGGTTAAATATCACAGACAATGTCCAATAGGTGTTGCTAATTCAGATTCACGCAAATTGCTCAACATTTTTTGTCAGGCAACAAGGGCTTATTTCAAACAAAACAGTGGAACTTTTTTTTAACAAGTTAGCTGATAGTCACCCACTCAGAACTGGGGAAGTTCTGAGGAAGAGTCACCGGGCTCGAAACATTAACTCTGTTTATTCCTTCACAGATGCTGCCAGACCTGCTGAGCTTTTCCAGCAACTTTGTTTTTGTTCCTGATTTACAGCATCCACATTTCTTTCGGTTACATCCCCATACCCTGTTCCCCCTCCATACCTCCCCCCCCTACATTCACCTCAAACTCCAAGTACAAAGAACTCCTGCATATTTTCACCTTCTAATTCAGCACCATCCTTGCAGATGTTATTCCAGAACTTCCTGCTACCTCCCACTCACTCTGTGTTGAACACCTAATCTGTGAGATAGCACTATGAAAAATTGTAGCAAAGGGATAGGTCATTGAACTCATCACCTGCATGACAATTGCTGGAGCAATTCTGATTTGATTCCACTTTGTCTCTTTATGCCTATAGCCCTAAATCAATTCTAATCTAATCCCATTGCCCTATTCGCGCTCTCACAGCCCTGTATCAATCACAGGCTAATATCACTGCCCTCTCTCTATTAAGAGCCTGGTATCAATCCAAAATTAGTTCCAGTCACGCTGTCACTCTACTTTGGGATCAATCCAAATTTAATCCCAATACCTTACTTTGACTCTATAGCTCTACAATTTGCTCTGCTTCAAACATTTATTCAACTTTCCCTTAAAAGGGGAAAACTTTCGAATGAGAAAAGCTTTCTATGCTCCAAACATTACCATTGCCAGGAGCACAGAAACAAGGGGTGTCCACCCAAGCCTTTGAAACTGTTCTGCTTTTCAATTAGATCATTGCTGACCTACTCTATGCACACGCACTTTGCTCTATATCCAGTAAAATCTTTGGGTAACAAAGTTTATAAATATTTCATCAAACAAGTTATCATTTCTAGTGGTTTAGCGATAAAATCTATGTCAAACCCCGGATGCATTGTGAACCGTGAGCATTCTAAGAGGCACAGGCAGGTTGCTGGAATGCGCAGAGAAGTGACAAACAGTATATGAATCTGAGAAGTGTGAATTGATTTGATTTGGTGAGAAGAATGGAGCGGCAATATAAAACAAAGGTTATGATTCTAAAGGGGGTGCAGGAATGGTGGGATTATGAGATATATGCAAACCACTGAAAGTGGCATAGTAGGCTGAGCCAGTGTCTAAATAGCATACTGGATCCTGGGCTTTATAAATAGGGAAGAGAGGACAAAAGCAAGTTGTTAGAATAAATCCTTTAAACCGATTCTTCAACCTTAACTATAATATTGTGTCGTGTTCTAGGCACCAGATTTTTGGAAGGATATATGTACACAGGAACACAGAAACAGAAATAGGCCATTCAGCCCTGGAGACTGTTCCACCATTCAATGAGATCTGTGGCCTAACTCCATATATGTGACTTTGACTCCTATCCCTTAATACCTTTATTTAACAAACATTTATCTATCTCAGATTTAAATTTAACAACTGATCCAGTGCCATTTGTGGAAGACAGTTCCAAATACTTACCATGCTTTCAACACAGCGCTGCTTCCTAACATTTCACCTGAATAGTCTGGCCCTAAGTCTGATTCTCTATCCCCCAGCTCTAGAATCCCCAACCAGTAGAAACCATCTATCTTTACCTACCCTTACTCTTCCTCTTCATATCTTGAAGACTTCAATCAGATCACCACTTAACCTTCTAAATTCTAGAAATAAAATTGTGTCATCTCTCCTTGTATCTAAACCTCTAAAGTCCAGGTATTATTCTTTTAAACCTACATTGTGCTCCTTCCAAGACCAATATATCCTAAGGGGTAGTGCCCAGATGTGCTCACAGTACTCCAAGTGTTGTCTAACCAGGGTTTTGTATAACTGCAACATAACTTCTGCATCTTGTACTCCAGTCCTCTAGATATAAAGGTCAGCATTCCATTAGCTTTTCTGCACCTGTTTGTGACATTTTAATGATTTTTGTACCTGAAACATCAAGTCTGTTTTGACATCCACCTGTTTAACTTCATATCATCTAGAAAGTAACCTGATCTATACTTTTTCAGTCCAAAATTGATCGCCTTACATTTGCTTACAGTGAAATCCATCTGCTACAGTTTGCCTATTCATTTAGTCTTTAATATCTATTTGTAATTTTATACAATCATCTAGACTGTCTATGATGTTGACTGACTTTGTGCCATCAGCAAATTTGAATATATGACTTTCTATGCCATTATTCAAATCATGAATGAATAATTGAGGTCCTAACACAGATCCTTGTGGGTCACCAGTGGTCACATCCCACTAATTTGAGTACCTAAGCATTAACCCTACCTTTTGTAACCTGGCATTCAACCAGTTTCGCAGCAAGATCAGTAACTTGCTCCCAGTTCCTGGGTTTCAGAGAGATGACTTCTGTATCTAGCGAACTCTGAAAGATTGTAGCTGGGTTTCTACAATGTGCTCCTCTACTTCCTTTAACAACCTCAGTTTCCAGGGATTTGTCACATTTTAATTTCATTAAATTCCTCATTCTGACATTTTACTTACATTAATTTTATTTAGTTGCTGTTCCTGATTTACTATTAATTTTATTAGGTCTTCCGGCAAGCTTTCCTCCTTTGATACTACAAATACTGAGGCAAAGTAATTATTCAATATGCCTGCTATTTCGCCATATTCATTGACAATAGCACCGCTTTCAGTATTTAATATGCCAATATTCCTTCTGACCACCTGCTTTCCCTTGATCTAACTAAAAATTCCTTCTTATTGACTTTCATGCCCTGGCACGTTTCCTTTCATAATTCCTTTTAGTAAATCTTGTAAGTTGCTTCGTGGCCCTTTGTTGCCTTCGTATCTTTCCCATGCAGCAAGATCTGTGCTTTTTTTTTGCATTTTTGTAAGCCCTTTCTTTTAGTTTACTGCTGTCTTTTATCTCTTTAGTTGTCCATGGCTGTTTTTTTCAGTGAAGTGGAGCTTTTCCCTCTTAGAGGTATGAAGGCAGTGTGTGTGAGTGAGAGTGAGCAAACAGAAACTGCTGGAGAAACTCAACAGGTCTGGCAACATTTGTGCATGGTTTTGTTGCATCGACTGTTTTGTTCTTTGTAAATTGTCCTCAAAAGCTTGTAAATTAGAAATGAGAAACGAGCCCAGAAAAAAAGGACCATCATGGACATTAGGCTTGGATTTCTTATCAGGCTACGAGAATTACAACTTGAGTTGGGACAAGCAGAAAGTGACAGGGACTGTGACAACTGTGTTGTGATCTTTGTAGATGGGAATTCTTGAGCTATGAGTCAGTACACTGTGAACTTAGCACTTCTGAAGAAGGGTCCAGACCGGAAACATCAGCTTTCCTGCTCCTCTGATGCTGCTTGGCCTGCTGTGTTCATTCAGCTCTACACCTTGTTATCTGTGAACTTAGCTGTTGGTTCAGTTCCTGACCCATTGGGTGGTTTACTGAATGAAACTACTGGAGGCTCACAGTTATTGCTAGTTGGTAGCCCAGTACCCTGAAATTTGGTATCTGGTTTTGCTTTTGAAGGGTTTAGTTAGGTGGACAGTTGCATTGCTAACCCTCAGCATCCTACCTGTAGTACCAGTTCTAGGTCCAGGGGGCTTTGCTGTTATGACTCCTTGGGGTCGAGGAGGGATCTTTGATAGAGTTGATGCCCCAGTTCCAGGGGGTTTAGTGGGTGGTTTTGGTGTTCCATTTCCATACATTGTTGTTTTCATAGTTATTGGTGCTGGATTATAAATTAGCTCACATTAACAACCACAAAAGCAAAAGTTAAATGACCAGCAATTAATCAGTAAATGTATAGGTGATGAAAGGGTGGACTTCCAATTAGTACTCTACTAAAGATTCCCACTCTCTGTTTCAAAGCATGTGTTGGCATCATCCAACATTGTAAGTGTCAATATTGCACTAAATCAAAATCTAAAATTGCACAAAACCTTCCAGTGAATTACTGCCTGTTTAACACATCACAACGTCTTCAGTATTGTTGAAAAAAAACTTTTGAAAACATTTTTATCTTGCACTTATCAGGACAATTCACAAGAAATGCCAATGTAAAGGAAAGCAGCATCAATACTGGATGAGAAAAGAGCACTTATATTCTGTATATCAAATGACAATTCAAGGCCATGGGAGTATGCCATTCAGCCCATCAAATCAGCCCAACATGCAATTAGACCATGGCTGAAGTTCTAGCTTGATGTCACTTTTCTGCACTATCTCCATATCCCTTAATGCCACCAACATTAAGAAACCTGTTGAATTCCATCTTGAACATACTCAATGTTTGACATTCCATTGGTTGGTGAGGTAGAGAACTCCAAATATTCACAACGCTCTGAGTAAAGAAATTCCTCCTTATCTCTGTCTTTAAAAACCTGTCCCTTGTTTTGAGATTATGTCCCCTCATTCTGAAGCCAACAGCCATGCGAAAGATTCTATCTGCATCCATCCTGTTAGAACTTTATAAGTCTTAATGGGGTCACCTTTTATTTTTTGAAATACTAATGAATACAAACCCACTTTTCTCAATCTTTCCTCATGAGACCATCCTACTATCACAAGGATTAATCTGATCAACAAAAACCGAAAGAACTGCAGATCCTGTGAATCAGGAACAAAAACAAAGTTGCTGGAAAAGCTCAGCAGGTCTGGCAGCATCTGTGAAGGAAAAAACAGAGTTAACGTTTCGGGTCC